GCCCGCCCGGGGGACCCCCAGCCACGACACCGTTAACACGGGTCGTGCATTGGCCTGGCAGGGGAGGGAACGAGGCGGCCGTGGCTTGAATGGTTTTTGGCCAAGGGCAATGCCCCCTGGATCACTTTCCCGCCTGGGGAAGGACCCGCTGGCCCAGGGAAACCCACTGACAGCCAGACCCTCAGCTTGGCTCGCTTTCTGACCCCACGGAATGGTCTAAAAGGTCCGAGGAGGGCTGGTGGCCCTTTTCTGTGAACAACGTTGCCAAAGGTGCGCAGTGAGGCAATACCTGGCGTTTTATTTGGCCTCGCCGAGCCCCCCGCCCACTCCCCGGCAAGCGCCCCGCTCCAGCAGTACCCGGGGAGAGCCCCGGAGCATGGGCATAGCCCCTCGTCCGCCCCCGCTGGCTACCGCCGGGCTACTGCTTGTCTTTCAAAAAGGATATTGCACTTCCCGAGTAGGGCGAGATTTCGGACATGTCTTGCAGGTCGCTGCACTCGGACTTTATGAGGGACAAGGAGAGGCCCTCAGCGGCGCTGGGGGGGTGGGCTGGCGAGCAGGGGTGGTGGTTCATGTGGTGCGACGACATCTTGGTCCTCAGGCTGGTGGTCTCCCGGGTCAGGTCCAGGGATTCGGGGGAGGCGCGGTCTTTTCCCGGGAAGGAGGCCGACGGCGCACCCAGGGGACTCTGGAAGGGGTAGGCCATGAGTGGTAGCGGGGAGGGGGTGACGGAAGGAGGAGGTGGAGAAGCCGGTGGTGGCCGAGAGCGGGGACTGGTGCAGGGAGGCATGATGGCCACCGGCCGGCGGGGCCGAGGCGGATTGGTCGGAGGAGTTTTTGCGGACGACGAGGGGTAGCGCCTCGGTTTGGTCGGTGGCGCCAGGCATGGGGACGCTGCCGAAGGTGTCGAGGGGGTTGGGAATGATGACGTCCCCGAAGCACTGGAGGCGCTGGTTGGCCGTGTGGAAGTTGTGGTTTTCCCCGTTGACGGCAAACCTCGCCTGTGGGATCTGGAGAGGTGGGAAGACCTGAGGAAGCTGGCGGGAGGGCTTGGACGAGAAAACTTTGACCACCGTGTCCACAACTTGCGACATGGCGGTGTTCAGCTCCTGCTTCAGTGTCTCGGCCAAATGTTTGCCTTCAGGGTGGAAGGCATTGGGCCCTTGCTCCTTCTCCTTGGGACCTTCTCTTTTCGGCTTGTTCTCCGCTATCTCCTGCTCCCGGATGAGGGCCCGCGCCCGGTCGATGAACTGCCCCGGGTCCAGCTCGCACATCTCATTGTCCGACCTGCCAACGGAGTCGCCAGCCCTGGCGTCCATGGTTTCAGAGCGCATGCTGTCTTCGGACAGGTTGCCATCTTCATCATTTTCGGAGTCGGTGCTGTCGTAGATCTGGTAGAACTTCTCCTGCAGCTGGCGCAGCTGCTTCTGCATGTCCTCCAGCTGCTGCTTCAGCTGTCTGCGCTCCTCTCGCTTCTGCTCTTTCCTCGCCGAAACCAGCTGCTGGAAACTCTGCTGCTGCTGCTGCGGCAGCTTCTGCTTGCGTTTGTTTTCTCTGTAACTTTCTCGGGGACTTACGGACTGCGGAGCTATTTCTCTTTCGTTTTCATTGCCCCTTAATGCCACACTGGGGGAATGGCTCATACCCCGAATTATATTCTCAACCCGAGCGCGTTTAGCTCTCAGGTGCTCGTCGCATAACCGATCCACATCAAACTGGCTCATAGTCGGCCTGCCAAAAGGGGAAAGACACTCCTGGGGGCTGTCTCTTGAAGAGTTGCTGCATACATCCTCCTGATGTACTTCTGAGCCTGTACTAGAGAGACCGCTGGCTTGGAAACTGGGCTCCGTGCCACCATTTTTGTTCATGTTATTTTTCAACAGCTGGGAAATTATGGTTGCTCCTGGAAAAGGCATCATGGCATCTTCATATGAGTTCGCCCTCTTCAGCAGCTTGCGGAGTACATTTGACTTTTCCCCATCTGCATGCTGCACCACTGAATACTCGACATCCTGCTCTGAACCTTGGGGATTCATGGCACTAAAAAACGTTGCTCTTGCCTTTGCAAAAAATGCAGATGCTGTCCCTACCGTCCTTTTCACTCCAATGTCAACTCTTCTTCTCTTGGTTTGCCTGCTTAAGAGGGCTGTGCTGTCATGGTCAGGCATCACTGGACTGTTATTGTGCCATCTTCAAAAGCTTGTCAGCTGGGCTCAGCTCAAGAATCCTGGGACCCTGGCCAACAGAACAAAAGGACTGATGAATCATTTTCTTTAAATTTCTCCAAATTTCCTGACCTCAATCCTGAATAAAATGCAAAATGCATAGGCTCTGGGATTTATGGCACATTACAATTATTGCAATTTATTATGCACTCTGCTTGAAATGAAACATTTTTAAATATTTCTGCTCCACTGGTTTAAGATGGATTAAGATTTAAAAAAGCAAAAACTGCTTAAGCACCAGTAATATGATTCTCTTGCACAAATGCCTAAAATGATACTGTTTATCTTCAGAAGAAAGAGTAGATTAGAAGAACACAGCCTCTGACAACCAATTGATTAAATTTAGGGCATTGAGATACATGTTACAAAAGAAGATGAAAGCACTCCTTATTTAAGATTTATTGTTAAAACAAGAAATTGTATAAAATTTGGATTAAAAAAAGAATTCTATTGTGATGTAAAAACCATAATTGTAGTTTTGTTTTTTAAAGAGAGATAAAACTGGCAAATAAACACTCGAAGGTCAAATCAACAACTTTCACTTAACTGTAGGTAGGATAGTATACGTGTATGTGAAAGGCAAAAAAATCACAGACACCTTTAGGCTTACATTTGAGGGAAAAAAAACTCAACCCTCTCTTAAATCATTAGGGAAACATTTATTCAGCAAAGCAAAAATGCATTAAAATATTTTATGGCCAGGATTATAGTATTTACAGAGATGTGATCAAATAAAGGCCAAAATGTAGTTCGTTAACACAGCCCCATGTGTACCAGTGAGTAGCCACGACGATGTTTTGAATTCCCCATGCATTCCTTCCCCTTTCTTAACTTACATTCTCCAAGCAAGCCCCGCTACCAAAGGCTGAAGATTCTGTATTTCGTGCGCTAAAATACATGACGTTAAATTTTTTGCATAGCAGAAACGAGGCATGTTCAGTGTCACATCTCTCTGCTTAGAAAAATCTCCAAGAACAGTATCTCAAATGCCCAGCAAAGCTCTCCTTACATGTAGTATTTTGAATACACAGAACCTTATTTCCTGTGACATGCAGAAAAGATGAGAAAAACTATGGAAAGATGAAAGAAATAACATCAATCAGCTGCATGAGAAAGGAAGATACCTTCTCTTTATATGAACTCTCATTGTTTCCCAGGAATACAGCATAAAAAGATAACACACTTCCTTGCATTTTGTAAAAGGCTCTTGACATAATTTGTGACTTATTAACTAGGGATGCTAAACTCACACTGCACAGAAAGCACTAGACGCTCTTTCCTGTTTCTTAAAATTTAACGCTGAGGAAAATGAAAATATTTTTCATACGACGTTTATCTAATATTAAACTTTACATTTGCTTAACGGAGCACAATCTTCACAATAACAGGGTATATTGCCAAAGGCAGCATGCAGACTTTTTGGAATTGCTCCCATCTCTTTCGGTTCACCTGTAAAAACATCTACGTGCTCCCTAGGACTGCATCTGTGGCTAGTTTTAAAGAATGACTACCCATGCAAATAGGCACAATTTCAGCATGAAATAATCTGTAAAATCAAGACAGTAGTCAATGCTTAGTTTGCAACCAGAATAATAAAAAAAAAAAACCACAACACAACAAAACCCAAAAACCAAACGCTTTTAGTACTTAGAAATGTTATGTTTATTCTGCAACCTTTGCCCACGTATTCTGGATGTACTAGAAGAATTTTCAGAGGTTTGGTGTCACAGACAGTTATGCAAGGGACGTGATGTTTGTTTACATTACATACAGGAAAGCAAAGAATGATAAAAATAAAAAAAAAAATGTCATGAATTCAGATGAGAACTCCAGAGCCTTACACAGTTATCAGGTCACTGCCTTCCGAGATCATTCCTTATCAAGAAGCACATTAAGCAAGTGAAGTCTGGACCCCTTACGATAATAATAAAATAACAAGGAGTTCTCTTGCAGGGGCCCAGTTCTACCACCTGCACACCAGGTAGCATCCCGCCTTGCAAGCAACTCCCCTGGAGTCCCGGGATACCAAAATCCTGTTAGGTGCGAGGGGTAGGATCAGGCCCTGCTTGGCCGTACGTGCCATAACAGACCGTCGTCTCCTGCTCTCTCTCAGTTAATGGAAATGGAGATTTTCAGGGGACAGAATCAGGTTCTTACAATTAGGTCTTCGGCTGGAAAAAAAAAAAAAATCGGAGGAGTTGGGATTTCGGAAGGGTAGTTTCTGTAAATAGATGGCCAAGTCCTCAGGGGGTGAGAAGGGGTGACCACTACCGGAGTTTTTAGGCAGGCGATCTTGGCACAGAATAAACCAAGGTCAAGGCTGACCTTTCAGTCGAGTGGTGTTCAATTGAAAAGCGATAAAAACTAATTGCAAGATAACCGAAAGAGCTCTTGCTTACTGCAACTAAGATGTTCTAAAGGCATTTTTCTGTAAAGATAATACTTGCCAATAGGAAAAAAATAAAACCAAACCAACACCAAAAACCTTCACGCTCT